CTTCCTCCCATGACAATAATGGACTGAACCTCTGAAACGGTAAGCAAGTCAGCCCCAATTAAATGTTTTCCATTATAAGAGTTGCCATGGTCTGCCACACCAACTCCAGTGCCATCTGTGTGACATGACATATGTCATTATGCTGGACAGGAGCTACGTGTCCCATGGGACTAGGCTTCCTGGAGGTCAATGGCAGACAGCCCAGTATTAGCTGCCCTTGAGGCATAGACGGGTTTTTTCGATTAGTTGGCTATGTGGGGTATGAGCTTTGCACAATTTCTTTCATAATAATGATAGTCTTTATACATACAAGACAAGGATCATTCTCTTCAGAAACAGCTCTGGGATAAGGAAGCACAGTATGGGAATGTATAAGACTACAGCAGAACCTTTGTCATACACAGGGTGTATGATGAGCAAGGGAATAGATGGGTTAATGTTGATGGACAAAGACTGTTATATTATACTCTGAACTTTATGGATAGGCTGGCTAGATCCCAACCCCCATAGTGTCTGCTGCATAAGAAAATACTAAAAAGTGTATTTTAGCAGGTGCAGAGAACTGATTACGTATATTTGGTCACTAGATGAAATAAAGGGTTAGGAAGAGGAAAAGCCATGATAGCGATAATGAGACAGAAACTTTCTATTCATAAGATGAAACCACTTGTCTGAGGTTTAAGTTCCCAAGGACAGGATTTCATTTTCTAAGGATGTTTTATGTCTAACACCTATCCCTGGTAATGTGACTAAAAGAAGCTTTCATACTGTGCCAACTGATGACACATGACCTTCTGATTTGTTCTTTGATTGATTACTATATAATAAAAACATAATTTTAGTAAAATTACAGCAGATTCCAAGCACTCTCTTGTGTGTTGTGTCTGTCTGTCATTCGCCAAACTTGTGCCTTCCTGCGTACCAAGACCCTGCTTCTCCCATGGTCTAAGTGGCTCCTCTGAGCCGGTCCGTGGCAATGGTCATAGTGTCTCTTCACAGC